CTTCTGTTTATGCGCTCCCTAGTTCTGCCCTTTCACCGTTTCTTAAATTCCCAGAGATCCGTAACTCCGATTAGGCTGAAATTTTGACACATTTTTTATCCGGATATTGGCTTTCTTGCGGCAAAAAAAGGGCACCAACCGCCTTATGAAGTGGCCACGAGGGCCCTGGGCGCTCCCTACCCCCTGGGGCGCGCCCCTCACCCTCGTGGGCCCCTCGGGCATCGTCTCACGTTGATTACACTTCCCAAAATTCACATATATTCCAAAAAAATCTTCGTAAGTTTTTATACCGTTTGGACTCTGTTTGATATGGATTTTCTACGAAACAAAAAACATGCAACAAACAGGAACTGGCATGGGCACTGGATCAATATGTTAGTCCCAAAAATAGTATAAAAAGTTGCCAAAAGTATGTAAAAGTTGTAGAATACTGGCATGGAACAATCAAAAATTATAGAAGGACGGAGACATATTAGAACTCCCCGAAATTTCCCCCGCCCTCGCTTCTACCACGATTTTTTCCGTCATGAACGGCCCAAAGAATGTCATGCAGGTGCATCTCCGGCCCACCCAGGCCCAAAGAATGTCATGCAGGTGCATCTCCGGCCCACCCAGGACGAAAAGCCCATTTTCTGTCATGATTTTTTGTCATAGAAGTAGGATCCCACCACATCTATGATGATACCGGGTTTTGTCACAATTATCTCCATAGAAGTGTCATAAGCATGACATGAAAATGTCACGGATGTGTCCTTTTTTTGTAGTGTACTGAACGTACGGCACCTCCGAGTTCTGCACACGTTTAGCTTGGTGACGTCCCTCGCCTTCTTGATCCAGCAAGGTGTCGAGGTAGTAGATGAGTTCTGTTAGCACGACGACATGGTGACGGTGATGGTGAAGTTATCCGCGCAGGGCTTCGCCTAAGCACTACGAAGATATGACCGGGGTAAACTGTGGAGGAGGGCGCCGCACACGGCTAACAATTGATGTTGTGTGTTCTAGGTGCCCCCTTCCCACATATATATAGGTAGGAGGGGAGGAGAGGCAGCCAGGGGCGCCCCAAGTAGGATTCGAATCCTACTTGGGGTTTCCCCAAGTGGCGCCCCCCTTTCCTTTTTCCACCGGAGAAGAAAGGAAGGGGGAAGAAGAGAAGGAAGGGAGGGCTGAACCCCCTCTTCTCCTTATCCTATTTGGACACATGCCATAGGGGGGGCACCCCTTATGGACTGGTGTGATCCCCTCTCATGGCCCATATATTCCCCCCGGGGGTTCCGGTAACCCTCCCGGTACTCCGATAAATACCCGATACATTTCAGAACACTTCTGGCGTTCGAATACTATCATCCTATATATCAATCTTTACCTCTCGACCATTTCGAGACTCCTTGTCATGTTTGTGATCTCATCCGGGACTCCGAACAACATTCGGTCACCAAATCACATAACTCATATAATACAATATCGTCATCGAACGTTAAGCGTGCGGATCCTACAGGTTCGAGAACTATGTAGACATGACCGAGACACCTCTCCGGTCAATAACCAATAGCAGAACCTGGATGCTCATATTGGCTCCTACATATTCTACGAAGATCTTTGTCGGTCGAACCGTTATGACAACATACGTAATTCCCTTTGTCCATCGGTATGTTACTTGCACGAGATTCGATCGTCGGTATCTACATACCTAGTTCAATCTCGTTACTGACAAGTCTCTTTACTCGTTCCGTAATACATCATCCTGCAACTAACTCATTAGTCACTTTGCTTGCAAGGCTTCTTATGATGTGTATTACTGAGAGGGCCCAGAGATACCTCTCCGATACTCAGAGTGACAAATCCTAATCTCGATTTATGCCAACCCAACAAACACCTTCAGAGATACCTGTAGATCATCTTTATAATCTCCCAGTTACGTTGTGACGTTTGATAGCACACAAGGCATTCCTCCGGTATCCGGGAGTTGCATAATCTCATAGTCGAAGGAATATGTATTTGACATGAAGAAAGCAATAGCAATAAAACTAAACGATCATTATGCTAAGCTACCAGATGGGTCTTGTCCATCACATCATTCTCCTAATGATGTGATCCCGTTATCAAATGACAACTCATGTCTATGGTTAGGAAACCTTAACCATTTTTTATCAACGAGCTAGTCAAGTATAGGCTCACTAGGGACACCGTGTTTGTCTATGTATTCACACATGTATTTAAGTTTCTGATCAATATAATTCTAGCATGAATAATAAACATTTATCATGAATAAGGAAATATAAAATAACAACTTTATTATTGCCTCTAGGGCATATTTCCTTCGCCCACCCCCCAGGGTGTTGCCCTTGTGGCACCTTTTGACGTGACTCGAACGCTAAAAATTCCTATGAATTAAGAAACTCCGTAAAGTAACCTAGAACTTTTACTCCGCCACCGCAAGCCTCTGTTCCGAAGCAATCTCATCTGGAGGCCTTTTCCGGCACACTGCCGGAGGGGGAAGCCCCAAAGGCCATCTTCTTCATCCTTGTTGCCTCCATGGTGATGCGTGAGTAGTTCATCCTCGGGGCTGGGGGTTTGTACCCGTAGCTATGTGTTTGATCGCTCTCTCTCTCTCTCTCTCTCTCTCTCTCTCGTGTTCTTGATTTGACACGATCTTGATCGCCCATGGCGTCCCCGACGGTGGAGTAGGATTTGTTGGTTGTCTTCATTAGGTTCGAGTTGCTTCTCAGGGTTAGGAGAGTTATGCCTTGTTATTTTTATTTGTTTGGGCCGAGCACCCCATGTCCCTCTGCTCCGGGCACCATGTCATGTCGTCTTGCGTTCGTGCATGTGTTGTCCCATACCTTGTATTCTTTCTTCTTCTATCAATGGAATGATACGCAAGCTTTGCGTATGCGCGAAAAAACTTGATTTGAAAACGTTCGAGTAAGACATGGACCGCTCCTAGGGCTTCTGGAGGACAAAGTAGATGTGAATGTGGCATTTCCACAAAACCGTTCTTAAAATATGTGAATAGTTGTATTATTGTGCCATATATGGTTAAGAAAAGGGATGAATAAAGTTTTCTTATTGATATGAAATCATGTTATGAGCGACGAAAGGTTTGGATCGCAAAACAACTATAATCATCTAAAGCAATTAGTCGATAATATGTGAGGCTAATAACTAGGTGTTGAGGCCATAGGTTGGTCCCAATGCGAGGATTTTCAAAGAACAATGATGTTTTAGGACCTCAAATTCTCTTTTTTAGGACCTCAGTTTCTAAAGCCATTTTGAAATAAACACTTATACGAGAAGGTAGTTTGAAATAAACACTTCTACAAGAAAATAGTTTGAAATAAATTCTTCCTCTTTCCTCTGGGCCGGGCAAGTTTGTTGCCAGCACATACACCCTGCATGCACTTTGTGTTAGAGAAGATCATGAAACCCTAAGTTCCCATTGTTTTTTTTTGTTGGGTGCGGGGGGGTAAAGAGTTTTATTTCAAAGCAATGGGGTTACACTATGCTGATAAAAGATCTAGAATAAAATAAGTGGCCCTCGATGTGACCAACATGCGGTATTGTGAGCTGTGCGAGCATAATTGGCAAGACAGTGAGAAACTCTATTTTGTGACCGGGCTATCTTAACAAACTCACGCTCCCACATGAGCAACTTAATCTCTTGTAACAAGTGACCATGAACGAGCTGAAAACAAAATCACTATTCATGTACTAGTCTCTTCATCTAAAAATCTTCTCCTGTTCATATTCGTGTACATGATGAGCTGAAAACAAAATCGGAAGACTTCATTGACTAAAACAAATGCTTCCTCCGATCCACAATGAACGTTGCAATCTTAAACTAAGATTCAATTTTAGTTCAAAACCGTGACACTCATTTTGGTTCGGATGGAGTAAGAGCTATCAATTCATTGATCATGAAGCTAACAATACATATAACGTGCATGGCAGATGTGACACCCACATATATGGTTCAAGAATACTGCAGAAAACACAATTATTCAGGTAAGAACAAGAGGAGAGCATAAAAATCGTCTCCTCTTCCAGAACCTTTATTAGGAACCCTAAAGCCATACACAACACAACTAAAGATGCAGGAAACAACTGATGAGCCCTAGCTATCTAATGTCTAAAACTCATCTTAGAATCATCACGGAAGGATCTACAAGGATGGAGAATCAAATATAGCCCATCTTTGTCCCAGCCTATAAAATGCAGCTGGGGGCTTCCTTGCGATTTTCAGGAGAAAATCGATCAGAGAGAAAAGAAAAGGTCATGAGATGTTCCTGCGATGTGATGATGCCACAAGCTGTCTGTTAAAAATCTGCAGCCTGTGTGCATCTCACAGCGTAGGTAGGTTCTGTACTTGTGTGTGTGAGATGTTCAGAGATGGGGGTGCGTGTCTAGTCCTTCCACATGAAGGGAGGACGAGGAGGGAGAGGAGAAGGGGGAGCGGCACAGGCCGTGCCTGTCCCTGCCGCCGGTGCCACGTGGGCTTCCGGCGCAGTGGGGACGTAATCCATGCCGGCCTGATCACCGGCGAAGCGAGACTGGAGTAAGAGGCCGTGGGCGCTGTCCATGTCGTAGTCCCAGACAGAGCTGCCCGGGCCCCACGCGCTGAACCATGCGTCGTCGGCGGGGCCCCAGACGCCGCCGGGGGTCACTGGAGCCTGCTGCATCATGGCCGTGCTGCCGTCGCTGCATTGTTGCTCTGCGTTCTGGAGCTGAGGATTTTGCTCTGGTTCCGGGAGGCCGCCCTGCTCTGCTGCGGAGAGCAGAGGTTTCTGTCTAATGTTCGCTTGCTCGTCCGTGTGTTGCTGCTGCTGTTCACGCTGGAGCAGCAGCTGAGCTTGCTGCGCATGGGTCTCGTCCGGCGTCGGCGGAGCGGACGTGGAGGAGGAGGAGGCCGACGCCGCGGCGCTGGCGCTGGTGCGGCCGCTGCCGCCGGAGCGGCCTTTGCCGAGAAAGAGGTCGGGGAAGTTGAGCCGCGCGTTCTCGCCGCGCAGCTTGAAGGCCTCGCGATCGTACGCCATGGCGGCGTCCTCGGCGGTGTCGAAGGTGCCGAGCCACATGCGCGTGCGGTTCCGCGGCAGGCGGATCTCCGCCACCCACTTTCCCCAGTGACGCTGGCGCACGCCGCGGTACAGCTTGGCCGGGCCAGGCGGCCGCAGCAGGTGCTGGTACAGCGCTGGCGGCACGACCCCGCCAAGCACGCCTCGCGGACTCAGGTTCAGGGCCGCGCTCCAGTAGCGCAGCGCCTCCGGCGCCATGTAGTGCGGCGGGATCAAGGCCGCCGCCGCCTCCAACTGCTGCTGCTGCTGGGCATCGCCGAAGGATATCATCTGCGGATGCTGAGAAGGTGTGTGCTGCTGCTGCTGCTGCTGGAGCTGCTGCGGCAGCATGGGTTGCTGGTACAAGCTGGAGGAGTACCGCAACAGCTGCAGGAGCCTCGGTGCCGCCGCGGGGGACGGATCGTACGCGAACGGGAGTATCTGCCGCGTCGACGACACGTGGGGCGGCAAGGACGTCGCGGGCGGCGAGAGGGGGTTGGAAACAGAGGAGGAGTCAGGGGAAGCAGGAGCCGACGACAGCGAGGACACGGAGCGGCGGAGGCGGCAGTCGGGGCTCCGCATCTTCTTCAGCGGCGGGAGCAATGCGGCCGCCGGCGCGTCTTCTAAAACCGGCGCCAGCTGCTGCTGCTGCTGCTTCTCCGCCGCCGAGCTCGCGGCCTTCCCCTTCCATCTCCGCTCGCGCCCGCGGACACCGCCACCACTATCCGCCACATCCATTCCAACAACTCGCTCAACCGCGCGAACCCTCCGGTTGAGTTCAACCCGGCCGCCGCCGCCCGCCGCAGACGAGACGAAACCAAGCAACTCACGTACGAACTGTACAAAGCTGCGTGGCGAACGAGAGAGGCTGCGGGGCGCGCGTGCGCGGGGGGAGGAGGGGGGGGGGGAGCCAATGGGGCGCGTGGTTCTGATCTGATTTGGGGAGATCGGCCGGCCGCGACGGGCTTATAAAGGTGGGCGGGCGAGATATTTTTGGGGAGCTCGGGGATGTTCCACGGGGGTGAAAACGAAAAAGGCGGTTGCCTTGTCGCTGTGTGGCGCGAACGGGGCCGTGGACGGTGGTCGGGCCCCACGCGCATTGACCCGTCAGCGCGCCACGGCGGACCTCGCGATGCGTGCGACGGCCGGCGGAGCCCCGCACGGATCGCGAGGCGTGCGCTGGAAGGTGGAACGCGGACGTAGCTTTCGGTTTGGTGCCGCGGCTTTGCACGGACGGCACTGGCCTTGGAGTGATCCGTCCGTTGCTTTCCTTGCACTACAATCCCATCCCGGCCGGGGCCCCATTATTCATTCTTCTCCACTGCCAAAATCGCGTTCTTGCTGGCAGGCTGACCGAGTTGGAGAATGCCCATCACTTCCAGTTCCAGTTGTTAAGCCGGTACTACTACTTCTCCAATATTCCGACGTTTTTCTTCTTCCAATCATTGAGTACTGTGTGCTCCATCTGCAATCAACGAGATGAGCCCAGGTGTATGGTTTGCAGACGACGCAGGACTGGCGGAAGATCTTTGCATTTGTTACGGAAGTACTGCTACTACTAATAACAATTGCACGCATCATTAGGCTTATGTGGGGGTTGCATATGCCGAAAGGGCAGTGGATTAGCTATACTTTAACTAGTGAACCAATCGGCTTATCGTTTCAGAAAAGAACTGGCCGAGGAATTTCCCCCTAGTTTAGGACCTTGCCTTTTAGTACTATAAACTGTCCGTCTATGGTCCATTCTGGCAACACGTGCCGCTGCCAACCACGCCTTTTTCTCTCTTCGTGCGAATCTGATGCGTGTTCGGAGATGCGCTGCTGGGAATGGTGTGAAAGGCGTTTTGGAGTGTTGATTCCGGCGATTGTTGTGTGAGTGTAACTTGTCACCACCTTTACTTACTTGGAAATTTCTCCTGTAAAATTACTCGTAACTACACCTTCCGTTTCAAATTACTTGTCGCAGGTATGGATGTATCTAGATACATTCATTTCTGCGACGAGTAATTTGAAACGGATGAAGTACTTTCTCCGTCCATACATTCATATCTAAACAAATCTAAAACAAGAATTTTGAGACAGAGCGAGTGCGTACAAGTGGATGCAAGGTGGCTGCAGGAATATTTTTCTGGGAACAACTGTATGAACAATACACGTTCGTACATAAACGATTCCTTCTCCTACACGCACCATAAGCAGAGCCAGAGATGAGATCACCATGCATTAATCCCCGCAACAAGCAACTCTTAAACTGCAAAACAATGCGTTGACCACTTGATAGTGGCTAGTATTGTGAAAACGGATGTATTAGTTTATCGGAAATGTTAACGCCCACACGTGTGGGCGTTGACTATCTCGACCACACGTATCCATCACCGTCTAGTACTATATGCACGAATCTTGACATAATCTGGCTGATTTTCTGTGCCACGTAGGACAAGGCGTGTGTGTGGTGTGTGACATAGTTCGTCCACACATCCGTTTTACCACATGGAGGGGCCGGTGTGTGGGCGTTTAGCAGTTCACCCACACACCAGTTTTCAGTCACGTACAAGGGCTGGTGTGTGGGCATTTGCCATCTCGCCCACACGCCCGTCTCCTCTCCCACACGTAAGCTGCTAGTTGCCATGTGTTTTTGCAGCGCACATGGCAACTGTCTCTAGTGTGATTTATAAGCAGGTGGCAACTCTTTTTTTTACCCGAGTTGCCATGTGTTTTTGCAGGGTACACGGCAACTGCCTAGTGTGCACGTAAGCAGATGGCAACTGTCTTTTACCGACTTGCCATGTGTTTTTGCATGGTACATGGCAACTGCCATAACGTGCACGTAAGCAGATGGCAACTCTTCCTTTTTACATGGCAACTGCCCTAGCATGCTTGTGAGCACATGGCAACTCTCTCAACTGCCTAGTGTTAGTATGAGGCAACTCCTAAAGTTATGAAATTATAGCAACTACATTAGATCAGACCATACATGGCAACTGCAGTTGAGCAACCATGGCAACTGCAGTTGTCCGACATGGCAACCGTGGTTCAGCGACATGGCAACTGCAGATAAACGAACATGGATGAGGGTCTGGACAATGGCAACTGCGGGCGCGCGGTGGACGTCACGCGTCGCGTGCGGGATCAAAGGGTACGAGGCCTGATATACGGGTGTGTGGGTGTTATCAATATCACCCACACGCACGCGTGTGAAGAGGGTTCAGAAGAGGGGAAAAGATGTGTGTGGGCATTACTTGTTTTGCCCACACGTAGATGTGTGGGCTGATTGCTGTCCATGCCATACGAGGCGTGTGGCACAACTATTCGATACACCATACATATGGTAGTTATCGGGACCCTAATTTATTATGCTCCGAGAATATGCTTGAGCAGGTATGAACCTCCAAGTTTCGGTTCCAGAATTATGCTCATCAGTGTCAGCCATGGTAGTATTATTGGAGGTTTAACTTTTACCTGGTGTCCTCCAAGTTTCGGTTCCAAATTTTTTTTGTTGCGGAAAAGACAGCGTGTCCTGCTGTATTATATTGTAAAAGTAAAATATGGTGCAACGGGTATTTACATGTGAAGCTAAAAGAAAAGGCAAATCAAAAGAACGTGTTGGTTCAGTTGTATCCAGTGATTGAACTGAGTGAAGTGCTTGGCTCACTGAACCAAGACAAGATCAGTTTTGAGTCCCCCTTCCAAAGAAGGTGTTCCATCTTTGAATATCTAATCATTCCCGTTACACTAGTCTCTCTGATTCAAATTAATCGACACAGCCTCTATAAAATGTTCCCCTTCATACATGTTAAAGGTTTAGTCTAACTCCGCCAGTAAAGAGTGCGTTGGACCAACATATAAGATTGATTCCTCCACGGAACACACTAGCAAGAGCTTGAGAAGAGAACATATACGCCCGAGCTCCTCCTCTACCACTCATTGTGTGTGCGTTGTGTTTCATGAATTAGCGGCTCAAGTTAGGATCTATGCATGTATAAACATAGCTTCTTTTTATCACACAGCAAACAAGTTTAATGTTTTGCCCACTAGTAGGAGTCAAACTAGCGGACCAGTTTTAACTAGTAGCTTTGCGCCACCTACCGTTTTCCCATCATGCTTCCCGGTGTACACCATGGAGTGGGACAACGGTTCTCCAAAACACCACCTGTTGTTCCTCAAAAAAAACCACCTGTTGTGATCATGTGCGGCAGAGGAGCGGTAAGGTTTGATTTTTTTTTCAAAACTATGATATAGTTTATAGCATTTTTGGAAACTATAACATGATTTTCATAAAAATCAAAAGTAGTAGCCTGTCGGCCATCTCTTGACCGAAATAGGACTTTTCGATCACAGTTAGGCCGAAGTGGACTTTTCGGCCATCTCTTGGACGAAGTGGTGGGGCCCTGGCCGAAAAGGCACTTTTCGGTCAAGTCTAGGCCGAAATAGACTTTTTGGTCAAGCCTAGGCCGGAAAGTACTTTTTGGTCTCGTGCAGGCCGAAATTGCATGGCTCATACATTAGGCTGAAATGTATTTTCTCGCCACCCGTTTCCTGCCAACCCCTTCCCATCATCCGTTTCCCGCCAACCCCTTCCCGCCATATGTTCCCGCCACCCGTTTCCCGCCAACCCCTTCCCGCCTTATTTTCCCGCCATACCGCAGTTATTCTTTCCCGCCATTTTCTCCTCTGTATCTATAAAAACCCCTTCCGGTGGAGGTGGATAAGCATTCCAGTGTAGTGTAGTCGAGATGTCCTATTATCCATTCGATCGTAGTTTTCACCCTGAGATGAGCAGCACTCTGCTGAGTCTAGCTACCGATTTCAGGATGGACAATAGGATTGTTCCATGGGACAAACTCACCGGTAGTGACACCATAATGAATGAGTTGGCTCACGAATTACGTAGTTTTGGGTGACCTGAAAGGACCTATGAGGAGGTACGTAAAGAACTTCTTAGGTTGCATGAAAGGTGGAAGAAGGTGATGGAGCCGAAGAGTGAAACTTTCAGAAGGACTGCAGAAAAGCATCCATTTTTATGGACTGAGGAGAGCGAGGACGACGATGATATCTTCATGCCGCCGCTTCCGGGTTCTACATCGTTGAAGGGCAAGAGTTCTGCATCATCCAAAGGCAAGAGTTCTGCATCCTCGAAGGGCAAGAGTTCTGCATCGACCAAGGGCGAGAGTTCTGCATCGACGGAGGGCAAGAGGACCGCATCGTCGAAGGGCAAGAGGGCTGCATCAACGGAGGATGACGATGATGACTTCATGTAGTATGTAAGATGTATTCCCATTGTACCGTTTCATTCATATGTATTTGCATTATTAGTTTGTATTGTATTATTGTAGGGCATTATGTTCTATCTGAATTTCATTTTGTAGTATGTAAGATGTATTGCACAAGTCCAGCCGCGCCGTTTAATTCAGATGTACTTGTATCTTAATTATCCGTTGTAGTCTATTTGGAAATGTAACTGGAATAAGAATGCGAATTCATAGTAATATGTCTCTCGCATACATAAAACAATATATGTCTCCTGATCAGATAGAAGCAAGTGCGATAGTAACACATACATGAAGCATGTCTCATACATAAATACCGACACACAGCTGCGAATAGTCTGAAACTAACATAGATAATGAGTCATACATAGATAGATAAGCATATCACTACGGGGGACGACGACGAGTCTGGGTCTTCCTCGGGCGAGGACCGGAAGGCGATAAGCGCTGAGGCGGTGGACGAGGCTCGCG